CCAAAGTTCTGGGGTCAACATTCGATGAAAATCAGGAACAAACTTATCAAATATCCGCATCTAACATAAACTTCATTTAGAAAGAAAGGCCAAACTGTGAAAGGCCAACGCATGTTTACCACAAATTCTTCCCGAACATTGCACTAAGAAGAGTGACATGCTGCTTCCACGTTACTACAATATTCCACTTGTATGGCCAACTCCGATACAACCAAGAATATGCCATAAGCAGCTCTAGATTCTCCACTATATTCAAACATCATAAGCTATTTAAAGAGAATGGGTTCCAAAATGGAACCCAATATAAAAACTCGGAGAAAATTAAAAAAAAAAAAATAAATACTAAAGGGCTGGGAACTTTAATATTCAATTTTCTGAACATTAAAGTTTTGTGATTCATATAAAAACACGGACAGTTCAGAAATGTTGGGATCCGGATAAGTCTACCTCGAAAAAATCTTATTATTTTTCATAATCTAGAATTTGTTTTTCTGTACCAGGATCGAGTAAAATTTGAAAAGGACAAATAAAAATAAAAATATAGATTTCTTGTCTTTGAGGATCCTTCCTGAAGTGGCGAACGACATTTTTGTAGAATATGTGGATGTCAAAGAATCTCATTTTGTGGTATTTAGTTTACGGTTCAAAAAAGGAGTCATGTTATAAAGAGGATATGTTTGGAAAACGATAGTAGAAATAACCTTCTGAAAATTAAGTCTCAGTGGAAATTCGAAGCCAATTGGGTTGTAAGGAGCTATTTTCCAATTTATACAGTATAACTTATCAGTGAATATCAACATTAATAATATCAATCAGGTCATTAATGTTAAGTTCCTAAATAAAATTCACATGGAATGGTGTACGGTATTTTGATATACCCTTCCGATTACCATTATTTTATTTAATATTTACCCATATAAGAAAGTTTTTTTCCAAACCTACTTTGTTAGGGAAATCCGAATCCGTAAACAACATTTTCAAATTTTGTGTTTACATAAACAGCTCCATATTTCCTACTCGAAAATACCGGTCTAACTGTGTATTCTATAAAAAATAATACAAATTTCTAACTATACCGGCAAATAGTTAGTCAATCAACTTGCTAATATTTAAATTAGTTTGTTTTGTGAATTTATAAAGAATTCACTTGCCAATAGAGAACAAAAACAACAAAAAGAAACGTTTAATGAATGTCACGTTGCAGACGAACGCCAAACAAATTCAAACACAAAAATTTACAAAACAACAAAAAATAATAATAAAAGTGTTAAAGTTAAATGTACAGGTTTAACTAATTACATGTTTTATTGTTCCAGCAGCATTGTAAATAGTTAACAAATAAATGGTAATGACATTTGGGAAATAATTAACATGTTGTCACGTGGATAAATACAAATATATATATATAATAGTTAGAATTAAGGTATTAAATTGAAAAATTCCCCTTAGGGGAATTTGGTTTGCCTCAAAATCATTTGTGTAATAAATTTCTGAATGGGGATTTAAATTGATTGATTGAAAGATTAAACAAGCCAGAGAAGTGTTATTTTGCATTAATGCATTTTAATTCGTATTCCAATTAAAAGGTTGAAAAGAATTCAATCATAAATAATTTAGAAAAAATCACCGAACTATTAACATAAATTAATTCATATTCCAATCACGTTTTTGTACTCTACACAATATTGAGGGTGGAGAATTAAATACGAACAGGAAAAAAATTACAAAAAATTAATGCACAATGAACTTGTCAGACAAAATTGTCAAAAAATTAGCAATGCTCAGCCGAAATATGACGTACTATCAGATTACCTTCGCGGAAGCAGTAACATTCAGGCATGTTTACGATGTAATCGCATTATTCAAAACTAGATAACAGCTGAGGAATTAAATGTACAACAACAATCTATTAAAAACATATAAAAAATGTCAGTCGGTGTGGGGAGGTATCAGTAAAAGTGGCACCCATTTTCGGATTGAGGGAGGGTTTGGTAAAGATATTACGATGTGCATTCAATGGATCAAATCAGATACTCCATATTCAATTTACAAGTTTTGGATTTCATCTTCGGGCTGGTTTAATAAAAATATTCGCTAGAAATTGGATTTACAATGAGATTGGTACCAGAAAGGGTGGACCTATTGGCCTCATTTTCCCACATGTTAAAAATAGCACCCATAGAAAAAATAGCACCCATTTTCGCTATTTTGAAAATGTTAGCTAAAGTTGGTAACATTAAGATGGCCCAAGTTTTATGGTAGACCCCATTTAACGGGTATTTTGATTAATTTGGACAGAAACTAAGTAGATAATCTCTCAACCAAAATATTGGCACAAGTTACGGGGTATAGTCCATATAACTGTAACATGTTTCGGTATTTTGAATAGTTTGGGCACATTCTGCAATCAAATTAGAAGTCATTTTATATTTTGGTTTCGCTTTATGGTAGAACATTTTCTACTTAAATATTTTTTCTTCTAAAAATATGACTAAACCCCATATAACTGTACCCCTCAATATTCGGTATTTATAAGATTTTGGTCGAATTTTCAAACAAATTGGGTTCTCATTGAGTGGCAAAACTTCCCAGCGAAAATGTTGAAGACTTTGAGTCCTAACCCAATGGGACATAGGCCCAATATAAATGTTTCGATTGATTTTAAATATTTTTGAATATCGACCCGACATTTTAACTTGTGACAAACATTCTACAGTAGTTTATAACCGAACCGAAAATCATATATTGATCAGATGAATCGATATGGGTATAATATGGTTCGATTCCATTGAGGGTTGGGTTCTGGCCCAGGACTTTTTAGATTATCTGATAATATGTTGCAAAATTTGTATTGTTCCGCTTATCCTAAAGTTTCTGCAGAGCTGATTCGAGTTATTTGAGCATAAATTGCTCTGTCCACAATTCCGACCATCAATTGCATCAATATTCTAGGGGCAACATTCGATTAAAATCTTTAACAAATTTATCAAATCTCTGCACCTTAGCTAAACTTTTTATTGAAAAGTAAATTAACAAAACGAACACACCATAAGAAGCCCTAGATTCTCTACTAGATCTATAAATTCTAAGGTTACTATAAGAGGAAAAGTATAGAAATGGAACACAATATAATAATTGCCCGGAGAAAATTAAATACCGAATAACAGACACTTAGGTTTGAAAGCTGAGCTAGAATCCTAAACGTACCGAAAATTAAGCGGTAACTTTGTATTAGAGCCATATAAAAACATGGACCTTTTATCCGTTAGAAATCTGGACATTGACCTAATTCAAAATAGTTTTGCAAAAATGTTTCCCAACTTCGCTTCGGTAGGAAAATTGGACTATATCTTCAAAAATACAGAAAATCGGGTGGGACCTTCTTTATATGAGGACCTTTCAAAACATGTACCTAAATATAAAATGTTCTGGAAATATGTTTTGCAAACCTCCATACTTCTGGAATGTCAAATTTTAGGAATTTTGGTGAAAAAAATGTGGATAAAATCATTAGATTACTGAATATTGGAAGGGACCTCTATGTAGGACCTATGTTTCTCAACATGAAGCGGGTATGCGACAAGATCTTCAAAATACATAAAATCGGCAAGACCTTCTTTATATGAGGACCTTTCAAAACAGAAAATATTCAGGGAAAAGTGTTTTGCCCTCTCCTTGAATCCGGAATGACAAATTTCAGGAATTTTGATGGGAAAATGCGGCTAAAACCATCATTGATTCCTATATACCAAAGATTGGGCAGGACCATTGTACAATGCCTAAACCAATACATGATCCTACATCGAAAAATGTCTGAAAATATACATTTCATAATGTTCACCAACCACCATAAACCCGCTCGGTTGCAAGATGCGGCTAAATGTTCAAAATGCAGAAAATCGGTCCACCACAAGATCTTCAAAATAAATAAAATCGGCAAGACCTTCTTTATATGAGGACCTTTCAAAATAGAAAATATTCTGGAAAAGTGTTTTGCCCTCTCCTTGAATCCGGAATGACAAATTTCAGGAATTTTGATGGGAAAATGCGGCTAAAACCATCATACCGAAAATTGGGCCCATTGTACAATGCCTAAACCAATACATGATCCTACATCGAAAAATGTCTGAAAATATACGTTTCAAAATGTTCACCAACCTCCATGAACCCGATCGGTTGGAAGATACGGCTAAATGTTCAAAATGCAGAAAATCAGTCGGACCTTCTTTATATGAGGCCCTGCCAAAACTTGGACATAAATAGATTATGTTCTGGAAAAAATATTTTGCCCCCTACTTGAATCGGAAATGTCAAATTTTAAAACCTTCAGAATTCCGAAATCGAATAGGACCTATGCTAAAACATGGACCTATGTACATGAAAAAAATTCTGAAAATATACTTTTTAAAATGTTTCTCAAACTCCATAAACCCGCGTCGGTTGGCTATAGCCGATATGATCTTTAAAATGCCGAAAATGAGGCAGGACCTTTATGTGAGGATCGGTAAAAACTTTCAAAAATGTAAATAGAAAATTTTCTACACCATCCGCCATGTCAAATTGCAGGTTTTTGGAGGGAAATGTGGTTAAGAGCATCAGAATATCAAAAATTGGGCGGGGTTTTCTGCAGGACCTACAAATGTTAAAACTTGGACCTATATTGAAAAATGTATGAAAATAAAGTTTTCAACATCCACGAAACTGTAGAGGCAAATTACAGTCAGTTCGGTTGGACAATTCGGATACAATTTTGAAAATATCGAAAAGAGGTCGGGACCTTTATATGTCAATACTTGAACACAAAATAACAACTTTCTGACAAAATGTTTTGCAAACTGAAGCAACTTTGGGGTGGTACAGTTATGTGGAACTATTATTATATGTTCTGATTTCATTCACATTTTTTTTAATTTCCTGACATTATTTTATCGAGTCCTTTATAATTGGTTCATTTTTTCAGATGCCCAATTCTGGTACAATGTGGCCCGCAAACAGCTGGAGAAGACCATCAAGAATGCCCAGAAAAATCAAGAAAATGGTTTCAAGCGTAAAGCCAAAAATATCATCATATTTGTGGGTGATGGTATGGGTCTGACCACCATTACGGCGGGACGTATCTACAAGGGACAGTATTTGAAGCATGGCTATGGTGAAGAAGAGAAATTGGCATTTGATGAATTTCCCTATACCGGATTGGCAAAGGTATCAAACTTTTTTTAATAAATTTAAAATTTGAAGAATTTAATAATTCCCCCTAACTCTTCTAGACCTACAATGTCGACAAACAAGTACCCGATTCCGCTGGTACAGCCACGGCCATGTTCTGCGGTACCAAGACCGACTACGGTGCAATCGGTATGGACACCACCCGTTCTAAGACAAATTCCAAACAAGGACGTCTTACCTCAATTATGGACTGGGCTCAAGCGGAAGGCAAACGTACCGGTATTGTCACAACCACACGAATTACACATGCCACACCCGCTGCCACATATGCCCGCATCTATCATCGTGATTGGGAATGTGATACAAAAGTGCCATTGGAATCGCAAGGAATTCATACCGACATTGCCAGGCAGCTATTTGAAAATGCACCCGGTAATAAATTCAATGTTATTATGGGTGGTGGTCTCAAGCCAACGGGTGCTACAAATGCCAATGAAAAGATAACCACACCCTGGGAAGGTGATACTGAAAATATTTGTGCTCGTGGTGATGGCTTGAATTTACCCAAGAAATGGTTGGAGAATGGCAAGGCCATGAATGAGAAACGTGAATTTGTTCAAACGATTAAGGATTTGGATGAGGTGGATTTGAAAGAAGTTGATCGTTTGTTGGGTTTGTTCCGTAACAATCATATCACCTATGCCATTGGCAAGGAAGAGGGAGAACCATCTCTGAAAGAAATGACAGAGGCTGCTATTGAAGTTTTGCAGCGAGAAGATTCAAATGTAAGTTTGGGAGATACGCACACAAACATCAACAAATAATTAATTAAAAATCTTCTTCTTTCAGGGTTTTGTTCTCATGGTCGAAGGTGGTCGCATTGATCAAGGTCATCATCAAAATTATGCCCATGCTGCCCTCCACGAGGTCTATGAATTTGATCAGGCCATTGAAGCTGCCTTGGAAAACACCAATGCCAATGAAACCCTCATTCTAGTCACAGCTGATCACTCGCATTCCGTCACCCTGAACGGCTATCCTAAACGTGGCAATGACATTTTAGGTTTTGCCAACAAAAAGGCAGATCCCATGGTCTATGAAACCATTATGTATGCCAATGGTCCCGGTTTCTATGATCATATCGCAAATGATACAGTGGCGGTGTCACAAAATCCTCTTCATTTCTGGAAAAATTTAACCACCCTTACGGTGGAACAACGTCAGTCACCAACTTATCGCCATATGGCTACAGTGCCACTTAAAGATGAATCTCATGGTGGTGAAGATGTTATTGTCTTTGCCAATGGCCCCGGGGCAAGTTTGGTCCGTGGTGTTTTTGAGCAAAACTATTTGGCCTATATTATGAGCTATGCCGGTTGTATGGGACCGGCAAAGGATTTCGATGGAACTTGCCGAAATAGTTCCTCATCTATTGCTGCGGCAACCACAATGCCATTGATCGTAGTTTTGGCTGTGTTTTTAGTGAAACTTTTTAATTAGTTTTTATGTTTTAAGTTTTTATTTGTTGATTGTTATTTGTAATTAAAAGATGCTTTCCTAGTTGTATATATGATTAATTTTAATTAAACATAAATAAAATTGTATAAATTTTGAACTATAGAGAATTTTTATTAAAAATATTTTTTTAAGAAATATCATAGGGTGTATTTTTTAAAGAATATTTTTTCAAACCAACAACACAAGGGTTGGATTTTTTAAAGGACCATCAAAAGGCGTGGATTTTTTAAAGAATATTTTTTTCAAGGACCAACATCAAGACGTGGATTTTTTAAAGAATATTTTTTTCAAGGACCAACATCAAGGCGTGGATTTTTTAAAGAATATTTTTTTCAAGGACCAACATCAAGGCGTGGATTTTTTAAAGAATATTTTTTTCAAGGACCAACATCAAGGCGTGGATTTTTTAAAGAATATTTTTTTCAAGGACCAACATCAAGGCGTGGATTTTTTAAAGAATATTTTTTTCAAGGACCAACATCAAGGCGTGGATTTTTTAAAGAATATTTTTTTCAAGGACCAACATCAAGGCGTGGATTTTTTAAAGAATATTTTTTTCAAGGACCAACATCAAGGCGTGGATTTTTTAAAGAATATTTTTTTCAAGGACCAACATCAAGGCGTGGATTTTTTAAAGAATATTTTTTTCAAGGACCAACATCAAGGCGTGGATTTTTTAAAGAATATTTTTTTCAAGGACCAACATCAAGGCGTGGATTTTTTAAAGAATATTTTTTTCAAGGACCAACATCAAGGCGTGGATTTTTTAAAGAATATTTTTTTCAAGGACCAACATCAAGGCGTGGATTTTTTAAAGAATATTTTTTTCAAGGACCAACATCAAGGCGTGGATTTGTATACCCTTCACCACACTGTGGTACAGGGTATTATGTCTTTGTGCATATGTTTGTAACAGGCAAAAATAATCGAGATAGACCCATGGTTCCTTTTGAGAATATGCATAGAATCACTTTTTGAGTCGATTTACGCATGTCCTTCCGTCTGTCCGTCCATGTATTTTTGTCGGTCGCATTTATGATCCGAATTGGATGAAATTTGGCACAGCTCATTTGTTTGGCCCGAGGACGAACCCTATTGAAATTGCAAAAAATCGGTTCAGATTTCGATATAGCTCCCATATATATCTACGTCCGATTTAAGGTAAATGGTGTACCAAAGTCCCTATATATCTTTCGATTTGCACGAAATTTGGAATAGCGTAGTGAATTAAGTCTAGAATGAGTGTGCAAAGTTTCGGGAAAATCGGTGCAGATTTAGATATTGCTCCCATATATATATTTTCACCCGATATTAGGTAAATAGTCCACTAAAGTAACTGGAAATCTTTTGATTTGCACGGATTTTGGCATAGCGTACTGAATTAGGTCTAAAATTATGTGTGCAAAGTTTCGTGAAAATCGGTTCAGATTTAGATATAGCTCCCATATATAGTTTCGCCCGATTTTAGGTAAATAGTCAACTAAAGTCCCTATATATCTTGCGATTTGCACGAAATTTGGCACAGCATAGTGAATTAAGTCTAGAATGAGTGTGCAAAGTTTCGTGAAAATCGGTTCAGATTTAGATATAGCTCCCATATATAGTTTCACCCGATTTTAGGTAAATAGTCCACTTAAGTCTCTAAAATCATTCGATTTGCACGAAATTTGTCATAGCGTACTGAAATAAGTCTAGAATGACGTGTGCAAAGTTTCGTGAGAATCGGTTCAGAATTAGATATAGCTCTTATATATATTTTCTTCCGATTTTATTTAATTGGTGCACCAAAGACCCTATATATCTTTCGATTTGCACGAATTTTGGTATAGGGTACTGAATTAAGTCTAGAATGATGTTGCTAAGCTTCTTAAAAAGATCCATAGCCGATTGAATGTGCTGAAGTAATATAAATTAGTCTCTGGCAAGTTTCCCTGAAATCGGTTCGGATATAGATATATAACAAAAACGCGACGTCTGTTAGGATACATATGTATAATATACCCAAAGTGGTGAAGGGTATCATATAGTCGGCCCAGTCCGACTTTACTTCTTTCCTTACTGGTTTTTTTTTTTCAAGGACCAACACAAGGCGTGCATTTTTTAAAGAATATTTTTCAAGGCCCAACAACAAAAGGCGTGGATTTTTTTGGTCCACATTTTAAGATAGCCCCAATAAAACGACACGGGAGTATGGGCACGTTTTTCAACCGAATTAGCTGTAATTTTTTGAGTTATATTTAGGTAGCGCATCTTCCTACCAATCAATATTGTACCCTTTTTTGTACCCTCCATATAACGATGCCTCCCAAATTTCGGTATTTTGAGGAGTTGGGATCCGGTTTTTTAATTTCCGTTTGCTGTAATTTGCAATTTCAAATTCTCATTAGGTTCCCAATCTCACTACCAAAAATTCTCTTTTCAACGACAGAGGGGTCTACGATCCGAATCGACCCGAGTCTTACTCATCCACATTTTAAGATAGCCCCCATATAACGACACGGGAGTATGGGCACGTTTTTCAACCGAATTAGCTGTAATTTGTTGACTTCTATTTAGGTAGCGTATCTTCCTACCCTAGCGCATCTTGGACCCTTTTTCGGATAGCCTCCATATAACGATGCCTCCCAAATTTCGGTATTTTGAGGGACACGGTTTTTGTAATTTTCGTTTGCTGTAATTTGCAATTTCAAATTCTCATTATGTTCCCAATCTCACTACCAAAAATTCTCTTTTCTTCGAGTCTACGATCCGAATTGACCCGAGTCTTACTCGGCCAACGTCTGTCACCTCAGCCCATTGTGTAAAAGCAATATCAACAACAACCAAAAAATGTACCATTCGTATATAAAAATCCCGAATGATTACAGATATTTTAAATATCCGCCTAATGGTGGAAATATATAACGGTATCACAATTTTCGGTTTCATATACATTTCGGATTCCCATGTTTCCAGAAAATGTTCGACTTTAAATATGTTGATGGGTCTAAAAGAAAAGATAAGCTGAGTCTATATGCTCTGTATTTTGCGGAAATTCATAATGAACCACTGTGTTTGTATTATCCTTATAGATAACCTTTAAAAAGTAATAGTTTCCAAAGAATAGTTCCAAAAGATGAAGATCGAGACTACAAATTGTATATTTACTTAATAACTCCTTTACCTTATAACAAACAATAATAAAAAACACATTTCTTATAAATTATGTATTTTGAAATAATATTTCTTTAATAAATCACTTTTCTAGTTTGCATTTATATCAATCATTTATGTATGTATGTATCGCGTTCACTTTAAGTTTAACTCAAGTCTTAGCCATTCGTACAGTAATTACAACACGGCATTGGTTTTGTTTAAAATAATGAAAAAGAGAAAACAAATAGGAAAAACTAAAGAATGCAACGAAAACATGTCTTTGTGGGAGGTATTATTTTTGTTGTACAACTATTTGTTTAAATAGACTAAAGTAAGAGGCCGTATCCACACAATAGAGCTAAATATATATAATAATTCCACAAATGTATCGACATTGTTTTACATTGCTTATTATGGGAACATTTATTTATTTTTTCTTATTTCTTGTTTTGTTGTTTTTTAGCCTTTAATTTGTTCACTTTCTAAAGGTTCTGTGGGTTATGCCGCTTTGGCCTTGGCAGCAGCTGCTGATGCCTTCGCTGCTTCGGCAGCCTCTTCAGCATCAAGTTTCTTAATACGATTCAAATTAACACAATTACGGAAAGCTGCCACCTCTTCGGCACACTTCAGAGTCTCACCGGGATGAGCACGATAACAGGCAATGACTTGTGCTTTCAAATCTTGACATGGTGGCAGTTGATGAATGGGCGATGCACTGGCAAAACGTTTGCGTACATCTTCCACAGCCGAGGAGTATTCCTTCTCCATAATGGCGTTGGTCTTTTTGAGGGTTTGCTCCAAATTGGCCATACGTTGTTTCCACATGGCGTCGTTTTGTTGCAATTCAATTTCTTTTTGACGACGCATATCACTGGCACTGAATGTTGTGCCAGCTGGAGCAGAATACACCACTGGTGGTGGATTTTGATAGACTATAGTTGGAGCTGGTGGTGCTGGAACTGGTTTAGCTTTGGGTGCCTCATATTTTGGTGGCGATGGTGGTGGAGGTGGTGTTGATGACTGCTGGGCTTTAGCATTTTCTTTTGCTGCAAAATATAAAATGTGTGGAGGAGGTTTTTTCTTCGTTTTATTCTTTAGTGGAAAAAAATACTGCAAAACTTAGACTAATGATGGATGTGTTTGATGGCTTATTATGTTGTGACGAAATGAACCGATATGAATTATTTTTGTTCGTCGCGATGAATGAACTTAAATATATAATGAATTATATTTTCTTAACGTGGACCTTGACTAATGAAAACAAAATGTCTGCTGAACAAAATGCGGATGAAACGAAATTTAGTTTTTACAACAGTTTTGAAAATATGTTTTTTTTTTCTATTTTGTTTTCATGTACTATAAAGTAGGATACCGGGCAATGTACCGTCTACATTTGATTTATTGCTTGCACGACAATAGATAATGTCTGTAACTTTATTAACGTGGGCATAGTCTAATGAAAACAGACTGTCTGCTGAACAAAAGACGATTGAAACGAAATTTATAGTTCTCACAACAGTTCTGAAAATATGCATTTTTTTCTTTTTATGTTCATGTACTATAAAGCGGGATACCGGACAATGTTTCGTGTATATTTAATTTATTGATTGCACGACAATAGATAATGTCTGTTCATTCAGGACTTTTTCAAGAATTATTAGTGTGGACTTTTAAAGGAATGTCAGATTTGCAAGACTCATTTTTTATGAATATCAGATCTCCAAGGCCCAATTTTCAAAGTTTAAAAGGATATCGGAGCTACAAACCTCTATTTATGCATAACTAGGTTGTAAGGGTATTATAGCTTTGTGTGGTTTTGTAACACAGCGAAATATTGGTCATAGACCCATTATTTAATATACCGATAGTCAGATCTCATCTAGCTGATTTAGACATGTGGGTCCGTCTGTCCGTTATAATTTGTAAAGACGATACAAGCCACATTGGGGATGAAATGGACCAAAAACTTTATTATTGTTGTTGTAGCAGCCCAATTGCTTTTACACAATAAACTGAAGTGACAGACGTTGGCCGAGTAAGACTCGGGTCGTTTCGGATCGTAGACCCCTCTGTGGTGGAAACGACTTTATTATTGTCTGTTTTTCTGGCCGTTCTAGAGGCCATAATTATGACCCGAACATCGCGAAATTATACACAGAGAAATTTTACACTATAGAATAAGCATGACAGCTTTGATGAAGATCGGCCAATAATTATCGGGTCAAATGATCCAACCTTTTGTGTATATATTTACTCCTGATAGACTCGAGACGTTAAACCTTTAAATTGATACAAATTATCGCCAATTTATTGTTCTATCTAGTCGAATGTGGGAGTTTTTCTTAAATACGTACAGGAGTTTATGTATTCTGATAGTGTTTAGTATTACCATGTTAGAGGGCAAAAATGAAGCGCTGATGACTAGGAAATTTGCATGATTCCAGTTATGGTCAAGGACGTAGCCTATAATTTTCGATGATGATAAGATATTTCGGGAATGAAACTGAAAAAACTATTATTATCTAGACGCTCTGTCTGTTTGCCTAGTCGCTCTGGACGTCAAGCTGAACAAGCCGAACATCATATATTTTTTATGGGGTAGATGATGTGGCCAACTAGTCAGTATTTAGCGGTTCAAATGAACCAAAACTTTTTTTGTGTAAATTTGATTAAGAAAAGATGCCGCAGTGGAGTTATTGAATCGGTCAAGAGAGTGCAAATATCTCGAAATATTGCCTAGGCTCGGAATATATATCCACAGAAATGTAGTTGTAGTTGTGTAGGGTATCATAGGGTCGGTCCGTCCGAATATAAAGCTCTGCTCACTGGGTTTAAAATGCCGATTCGTTTAAAGGAATACCAGAGCTTTTTGCGTGGATTTTTATACCCTTTATTGATTTATTGCTTTCACGACTGTCAGGTGATAATTCACAAGCATCAGATGTATGGTTAACGATTCGTTCAGGAATGTCCGTCAAAATTACATCTCTAAGATCAAAAGGAATTGTATATCATACGGGGGCCATTTTCCGATCCATAATTGGCAATTTTTTGTACTAAAGATTTGTGAAATCCTGAAATCCTTCAATTACCGAAAATTGGGGACACTGCTATATGGGGATTATATCACAACATTTTTATGTAGAATGCACGCAATGAGACCCAAAAAGGGAGCTATATAAAACATGGTACAATGTTGATACATTTTGGATTTCCTACCCCAATGAGAACTCAGAATAACAAATTACCACCAACTCATTGGAAAAGTGTCCAAAATACCGAACATAAGGAGGTACCATGAGACTACTCCAAAACGTGGACCGATATATTCCATTTCCAATATCAAACGTTGTAGGAGTAGTAATATCTTCCATATTGCTAGTTCTATTGTGATTTCAGGGTTAGTCATTGGTATATCGGCATAGATTTGTTTCTGATCAAATCTGTATGAGTATGACAAATGTAAAATACACTCCACCTTATGATGTTCCTTGATCAGGATAGGAGCAAGAAGATGCAATGTGAACAGTTGCTCACCCATATATACATATGGGTAAATAGAAGGCTCAACAATTTAGAATCTCCGTCAAATTTTTATCATAACGATGTAGCACTGCTAATGTAAATAACAATCTCGGAGCATTGACACTTCACGTACAATTTCCTAAAAACTGGACAACATAAATCGTATTCAATAGTCCTTTGTTATTTATCAAGCCAACAACAACAATCGATTTCTACAAATTATACTCCTCAACATTTTCAGAACCCATGATTATTTTAAATCAGCTACATGACGTCATATAATAACCCTGCTCCCGGAACGAGACATTTGTTTATCCAAAAGACGACAAAAAACATTCGCAAAATAACACACAAATTCTGCATTTTAGTTTCTCGGTTGCATAACCAACAATAATTGCTGTTGTCGTTCGCTTATTTTTGGCTAAAAAGCGTCGGTGACATAGCGTCAATTTGCGAAGCAAATAAGAAAAGCATATTAATGTGACTGGACAATGTGATGCAAGCACTTACCTTGTTTTGAGATGCCCGTCTTTAGACGATTTACAACATCATCGGAGATATCAATAACACCGGCTGGTGTTGGATTGTCCATAGACACTGAACGCGGTTCGGATGAATGTGCTGCTCCCATTTTGTTTGCGGCTCAGTTTTGTATCACTGCAAATTAGATGGGTTTTGCAATTGTAGAAGAGTGGAAAATTAATTCCATGGTGCTTTAAAAAATCGCATGCATCAATTTTTAATAACAAAACAAACCTTTGGAGCTCAGCAGAAATCTCCCGTCTACCAATAAAAAAACTAAACTTTTTTTACCAAAAATCCATCAAACGTGTAGCTGTCAAAGTAACTGTATTATTGTTGTTGACATTTGATAATGAGTGAAATGTTACAGGGTGTCTCAGAGAAAATTGTTTGCACTTTATAGAACATTTGTCAAAAGGGTGATTTAGGTTTTGTGTAGTTATACAAAACAATTACGTCTACGGGCTTAAAAAACTACAAAATGGCGCTGTGAACTACAAAATGTAAGCTTTCGCTTAACTTGACAAGTGTTTTATCTATCGAGCTGGACGAATTTATAGCTTATCATAGAAAACAACAGCCAGCCAGAAGGATTTATAGATATTTTTTAGACGGTGTCTACATATAAGGGCATGGTCCTATAAAGTGGACGAGTTGGAGGAGGAGTTAAATAATAAAAAACCAAAAACCTGTTGCGTAGATTTATTTTATATTTGACAGATGAAGCCACAACGTACACAGTTGTTTTTTTTTATTCACCTCAAATTATTCTGCCTGGTACCATGAATTTGTAACCCAATGAGAACCAAATTAAAGCCAAGACCTCATTCAGACTACTTAATCCACTCGATTTCAAATGCTTATTTGTTTTCATATACGTCACCTAAAAATTGACTTTGTGTTTAAACCATCTAAAACATAGAATAATGGGCATCGTTATATAGGTGCAATCTTAAAAAGTGGACCAATTTTGAAAATTATTGTAGGAATATTTATTAGTCAATGAAAGAATTCAAAGTACCAAATACCAGCCAATTGGGTTAAAAAACCTTTTTGCAGGGTTAGGCTACGTTCAGACTACTAAATCCACTCGATCTCAAATGTCAACTTCATTGCGTATATGTCACTTTAATCCTGTTCATAAATTTAGTGGATTATATTTGACTTATAAGCAATGAAATTGACATTTGAGATCGAGTGGATTTAGAAGTCTGAACGTAGCCTAACCCTGCAAAAAGTTATAATTCTTTCATTTTTCTGTCAAATGACGTTGACACTAATATAACAAAAAAAAAATGTCCATGTGGTTGTTGTATCGTTTGTTGTACAACAACACTTGCTGTTACCTTCTATTATTATACCATGCCCAGTTACGAATGTAATGCTAATCAGTGATGGACTGGATTATATCTGCGATAGTTTATTAAATAGGATAGTGTAATGAAATTTGAAACAGATTGAATTAATAAAGTAGTCCCCTCTCAAAGCCCTCAATTAGTTTAGAACAGGCATGCTTACCCATATACGCTACCGTAACTGAGGGTCGATGGGTAAACACATGTTCTCTTTTTCTCTCTTTATGTCAGTCGTTGTTAATGGTGAATTCTCAGTTACGCTCGCAAACACTTGCTCGCAATTTAATTTTGCCCAACACTGGTTTAGAACATGCCCTATAAATAATGTCGTGCAGGGAGACCAGCTGGATATCAGCTGCCTCTAAAGTTTGCTGTCAAAGACCATTGTTGTGAATTGACTTCCATTATGAAAACGTAAACAAAGGCCAGATGTTTGACATTAGACTTGAGAAAAAACAGCTCACTTTCGTTAGCTGGGTGACCTTATTAATAGGTCTTGGTTTCAGTCTCATTCAACATTTGAGAAAATATTTTCCGATTGAATGCCTTTTGGTCCTTATATAATCCTTCATTTCCAAAAGAAAAATCAGATAGCTTAAATTTTAAAGTCACAATTGATTCGATAAAAATATTTTTTAATAAAAAAAATTGCTTATCTTTTTTACTTACCATGAATTTATAATTATTTTAAAAAGTTATTTATTTTTAATATTGTTTTTATTTTTCTTCTTTTCAGTTTATCATTTCTTTGTTTGTTGTGTTTTATTAGAATCTGTTTTTTCTTTCACATTACTTATTTTTGTTATGTTTTGAAATATTCTTATGGATATTTTCTTGTTTTGTTAATAATCTTTGGTTTTTAATGTTTTTGGAAAATATTTGTTGTGGTTGTTTTTACTTTTTCAAAAAAGACAAATTTAAATTAGAAAATATTAAAATATGAGCGAATTTAAAAATTCATGTTAAATTAATATTTCAACTGGGAAATAAGAACAATTGTTACGACATGTGAAATTGAAATCTCAATTTTTGAAGGAAGATTTTTATTTTTAAAGTGGGTTATGGTCACAAGACTTATGTCCCATAAACATGACATTGACAAGGAATTTTATATTTTATAATGAAATCAATGGCATTAAATGTCAATATTTAAGGAAAATGAAGAAAATACAATAATTAATAAATATACCACAAAGTATTGCAAAAAAATAGTTTTTTATACCTATGTTTATGGTAGCCAATTATTATATGCTGTGAATTTAAATGATACATACAAATTAATGAAATATATATTAGTTTTTTATTTTCTTTTTTAAATATTTAATTTGTTATTGTTATTATTAATATTTTACACGCAATATAAGCCCTTAATTTAGAAAATATTTTTTGTTTTTTTTATTAATATTCGTAATATTTTGTTCTTGTTATTATTAATATTTTAAATAGTAATAATTATACATCTAAATCTTCTGCATTTTTGTTGTCACATTTTGTTTTATGTTCAAGTTCTTAGGATTAGTAAATAAAAAGTAATTATTAATAATTAGTTATTAATATCTAATGGCTGTTTATAATTATTTTGTTTCCTTTTTTCGACCAAAAATCCCAAAAGAAAATGTTTTTTATTAAATTTTTAGTTAATTTATATTATACGATGCTCTAAATATCTAGCAAATAAGTTGTTTTCTTCTTTTTTTCTTATGATCCTTGTATATATATTTGTGTGGGGAGTGTGTGTTTTTTTTAATTATTAGTAATTTATACTATATATTATCACGGTTATAAATAAATAAATTTAAAATTGTTTAGTTCTTTTATTATGTATAAATATTTTTTGTTTGTTTTTTTTACAATTATATTAGATGTTTTTGTTATGTATTACATTACCCTTGTGTTAAAAAAATTTAATTTATTTACAATAAATAAATGAATTTAAAAAATTATAAAAAAGGAAAATAAATTGTTATACGAAATTTATTTAGTAGAAAAATAGAATGTAGATACAGGACATTACCGCTAAATATCATACTTTTTACATTCATAGACCTCTATAACATACCTGTATCCAGGTATGTTATAGATGATTCAAATAGCAATACTTTTTAAATAGTTTTCTCTTAATAATTCAGTTTTATAAAATTTTTTGGAATAAGAAGGCATTAACTACCGAGTTACCTTACCACAATATGAAAATATTAACCTTTAAATAATTGTCCGATCTAATAGTATATAAATCCACAAATTAATACAGGAATCCAAATGCCACCAATTTTCATTTTAATTTTTAGGGGATAAAATACCACTTATTGGCCTCTTGAAAGCGTAAGGGTGAAAGCCTTTGGCTAGTGTATAAAGAACCTAGAAGTGAAAATTCGCCATAAGTAAAATTTTTGAGTCGTGGCGTGATTAAGTATGTTATATATTTGTTTGCATTTATTGCAGGTGATATTTGTCTTCAGTCAAATCTATTTTTTTAAATCATTTCGTCCGTCCATCTCGGGTTATTATGCAACATTTGCATCCACAATTTCTTCAATATTTGTTTACGGACGATTACCACAAGATGATATTTTTTTACAACAATTAAAAAGTGTCAGTCGGTGTTGCCGACAGATATATAACACAGATTTTATTATTCGCTTTATATAAGGTATAATTTTTTTCAAAAAGTTGAGTGGATCCAGATTAGGTTGCCCTATAGTCCAAATCTTGCCGTATTAACTTGTATATACCTTCATTAGCCATAAGGTTGAGGGTATAATTAAACAAGTTTTCATTTGGACCAAAAACCTTTTAGAGGTTGAAATATCCATTCTCGTAATAATCGGATTACATATGAAAGGGTAGTGGAGGGCAGTGAAGTAACATGTAATTTTTGGAAGTAATCTGCTGGAACACTCAGTCTCCAGACACTCTGAATTTACTCATATCATACAACATATTTGTTGAAGGTCGCATGAATAAAATGTTCTTCCGGAAGATTTAGCACTCTGACACACCGGTTTCGCCTATATCAAATAAGATAAATTTAAAAAAAATCCTGTTGCAGGTCGTTACAGGTAAAATATATTCCACATCCCTCTTATAGATAGAAGGCCTTCCGCATATACCATTTTACCTATCGATATTCAATATATTTCCTTCAACATTTGAAAGTCTTACCTGCAATAGTTTTTCTGCATACAACAGATCATCTTTTGAGCTTAAAGGTGACCCCATTTTCAGCTTCATTTCATTTAGTTTTTTTATTTTTATTTGATTGGAACCTATACTAATTCGAGAAATTTAAAGATATAGCCGATTTATTGTGTCAGTTCCCTTAAATGACTTCAATACCAAATAAGCTAAATTTAGTAAGTCCTATTGGAGGTTGTAAGAATTTTATAGATTGAGGCAAAATACAATTTAAGGAAGTGATCTACACGAATAATCAGCCCGATACTCTGAACTCTACCATATCATTTAAGCTAAATTCAAAAAGTCCTATTGAAGGTCGTAAGAAATTTTGTTTACAGTCCTCCTATGAATTGGTGATCATCCATTAACATTAACAGACCCCCCATTAACATTAAAATCGATTTATTTCCTTCAACAATTTAAAGTCTTGCCTACAGAGGGCTTCAATGCCTGTAATTTTTGCAATAATAATGATTACGAAAAAATAAAACAAAAAAAAAACTAATAAATAAAAAACAAAAATAGAACATGATTTTATAAATTTAATATGTAGTATTTATATTTAGGTATTAAAGTAGTTTTATTAGTTATTTGTTGTAATTGTAATTAAATTTTAGTTTTAGTATTTTACAGTGGTTGTAATTAATTCTTATAAATTGGGGTATCATCAAATATGCATTCGTTTTGTTTTTATATTCACCCCTATTCCGTATGTCGTCGTCGACACGAAACGACGTCGAAGAGAGTCGTCTTTTGCAAATTGGTATTCCCTATGTCGTTGTCGACATTTATCGATAACTATTGAAACATTTT